CCCTCCTGGGGAGCACTCGCAAACGAAGATGGGAACCTCCCGGCCTGGTAAGAAACACCCCCCCCCCGCCCTCTCGGGAGGCCGACCTCCTCGCGCCTTCCTCTTGTGGGCGCCGCCAGGGGCGCCGCCAGGGGTGCCTGCTCGGTGCTTCCCGGCACCCCTGGCTCTCTGGGGTGGCCGCCCGGCCCGGGCGCCAGGTCAACGGGGACAGGCCGGTGAGCGCCAGGACCCTCCTGCGGGGAGGGGGGGGAGGGCGGGGGCACGGGGGCAAAGGGAGCGGCGAAGGGAGGAGCAGGAGGTGGAGGAGGCGGCGAGGGAAGAGGCGGAGGATGGGGAGGGCGAGGATGATGATGAGGAAGGGGGGAGCACCGCCTATCTTGAGAGGCTTTTTACTTAATCGCTTCGCTCATTCCGCCGTCCCGTATTGGTGCACGGCTGTCGAGTGCCCGTGTGATCGTTGTCAATGGGGTGCTGCTGGGTCGTTTTTTTATTTATGGATGGCTGGCTTTGGGTGATTTCGCAGGCGGGAACCATTCTTTGCCCGTCTGAACCTTCTGTTTCGGAAGGTGGCGGCTCGTGAATACGATCGCAGGGAACAAGACAACATTCTGCAGTTTCCTTTTTGCATTCTTCGGGCCCCTTGTCGCTTGTTGGGGCCTCTTAGGAGCCTCTTGGGGCGTCCAGGAGGCCTCTTGGAGCGGAAGGCTCGGATTTGCGGTTCGTGGTCTCCATCTTGGGCCTCTCTTGGGGCCCTCTTGGGGTCCTTTTGGACCGTCTTGGGCGCCTCTTGGGCTGTCGTGGGGCCCTCTTGGGCGGTCTTGGGGCTCTCTTGGAGGCCTCGTGGGCCGTCTTGGGGTGGTCTTGGAGGCTTCTTGGGCCGTCTTGGAGCGTCGGAAAGGCGAAAAGGCGAGGAAGCCAAAAACCTTGAAAAACCCAATGGAAATCAATGGTTTTGGCGCTCTGAGGCTTCGTGGACGTTCATTGGGATCTCGTTGGATGCCTCTCGAGGGCTTCTTGGAGACTCTCGGGAGTCGTTGTCGAGCCTCTTGGGGTCTCTTTCGGGCCCCTTGTCGCCTTTTGGGGCCTCTTGGGGGCCTCTTGGAGCCTCCAGGAGGCCTTTTGGAGCGGAAGGCTCGGATTCTCGGTTCGTGGTCTCCATGTTGGGCCCCTCTTGCTGCCCTCTTGGGGTCCTTTTGGACCGTCTTGGGCGCCTCTTGGGCTGTCGTGGGGCCCTCTTGGACGGTCGTGGGCCTCTCTTGGAGGCCTCTTGGGCCGTCTTGGGGTGGTCTTGGAAGCTTCTTGGGCCGTCTTGGAGCGTCGGAAAGGCGAAAAGGCGAGGAAGAAAGAAACCTTGAAACACGTAATGGAAATGAATGGTTTTGGCGCTGTGAGGCTTCGTGGACGTTCATTGGGATCTCGTTGGATGCCTGTCGAGGGCTTCTTGGAGACTCTCGGGAGTCGTTGTCGAGCCTCTTGGGGTCTCTTTCGGGCCCCTTGTCGCCTTTTGGGGCCTCTTGGGGGCCTCTTGGAGCCTCCAGGAGGCCTCTTGGAGCGGAAGGCTCGGATTCTCGGTTCGTGGTCTCCATGTTGGGCCCCTCTTGGGGCCCTCTTGGGGTCCTTTTGGACCGTCTTGGGCGCCTCTTGGGCTGTCGTGGGGCCCTCTTGGGCGGTCTTGGGGCTCTCTTGGAGGCCTCGTGGGCCGTCTTGGGGTGGTCTTGGAGGCTTCTTGGGCCGTCTTGGAGCGTCGGAAAGGCGAAAAGGCGAGGAAGCCAAAAACTTTGAAAAACCCAATGGAAATCAATGATTTTGGCCTCTTGGGGCTCTGTTAAAAAGGGTCGGGGCTCTCTTGGGACGTCTTGGAAGCTTCTTGGGCCGTCTTGAGGCCGTGTTGGGCGTCTTGGGCCGATCGTTCGGTGATTCGGAACCCTCTTGGACAGTCTTGGAAGCCTGTTGGGGCCCTCTTGGCGCGCTCTGGGGAGCGTGGAAGGTCGCACCCGAGTTTGCCGGGAGTGTCCCAGGACCTTGCTGGGGTACTTTCCGGCCGGGGGCCCACAGGGGCCGCTCCGCGCGCGCGAAGTATAGAGTTATTGTTAACCAGTTACCGGAGATCTTAGCACGCCTCTGGCCCGTTGGGCCGGCGAATTGGCCCAATACGGTTGGCAGTGGCAGAGGTGGCCATTAGCTACTGGATCCGTGCCTTTTCATTTTACTCGTACCAATCCAAAGCAATATACGCTTTGACCATGGACGTTCTGGCGTCGACGTCCTGGGACTCTTACGCTTACTCGTTCTTGTACTATCATTCCTTTTTCGTATATGCTCCCACTCTCCACCGCAGCCCGCCGTTAGGGGTCTAATCCGGGACCCTCCAGCTACGTGTGGGGAAAAAACAGCACAACGTCCACGATTGTCGTCTCAACATGGACACTCTGTCGTCAATGTTTTGGAATGCGTGGCAGGAGGTGCGGGGCGCCGATCCCGCGCGAGAGGGCGCGATGTCGCTCTCGCCTCGGTGCCGTACGCTCTTTTCTCCCCAAACAGTGCTTGCACGTAGGGTTTGTTGTTGCTGTTTTGAGGAATTGGTCGAGTAGGGCTGGGGGTCAGGTCTGCAGAACACCCCAAACGGACGTCAAGGAGTGCAACCAACCCGTTCGGTCAAGCTGCAACTGATGCACCACACCCGGCGTCAAGCCAAAATTCAGGACACATGCGAATGGCTGGATGTTGCGCATCTACGTCGGCTCAGCCGGCGAGGCGTTTGACCACCTTGACGTCCCTTTTTTGGGGCGTCCTGCGGAGGAAGGCGCGCTCTGACCCTCGGCCCTGCTCAAGGAACTGGGCTGGTGTGCCGACATGCGCGCTTGGCCGACGGACGCGAGTGGCCAGAATGGTACGGTGGGGGCGTTGGTTAAGGACTGTGCCCAGGAGGCTGCAGACCCTGGAGGATTCCTCATCTGATGAGGGCGGCGGTGATATCCAGGGCCAATCCACGATCGGAGTTCCACTGGCTTCCAGACCCTGGATCCCTTGTCGAAGGTTTCCTTATCCAATGCCATCCAATGCCCCCACCGGTGGGGGCGTTCGATAAGGAATGCGCCATTGATTTGCTGAAAAAGCTTCCGCGCGAGCTCTTGCGAAATCTTAAGAAAACCATAGGTGTTTCAAGATTTTCACAAAATTCTATTAAACGGGCTTCGCGCGCGCATGTCGAAATCTGTCGAACGCCCTTGCACGTGTGCCGTCGCGAGAATCCTCTGCAAACAATGGGACGAAGTGCAGACGCTCGCGTCGTCGCGCGCGTATGCCGAAAACTTTCAAAACCCATCGGTTCCAGAAGGAATTCAAAATCGTGTGTCCAAAAAACCTACAAAAACACAAGGTTTCGCAACACGGATTTTCAACAAAAGCGTGCGCGCGAGCTCTTGCGTCGTCGTCGTCGCCGTCCTCCCTCCTCCCGCGTCGTCGTCGTCATCGTCGCCTACGTCGTCCTCTGTCATTCCTCGTGTTCGTCCTTGTCGTCCTCTTTGGCGTCGTGGTCGTTTCCGTCGTCGTTGTTGCCGTGGTCGTCCTTCCTCCTCCTCCCTCTTCGTCGTCGTCGTCCGTCGTCGGCGTCTCGTCGTCGTCCCTCCTATTTCGTCGCCGTCGTCGTCGTCGCCGTTGTCGTCGTCGTCTTCCCTCCTCCCTCGTCGTTGTCGTCGTCGGCGCCGCCGTCCTTCCTCCTTCTTCGTCGTTCGCGTCGTCGCCGTCCTCCCTCCTCCCTCGTCGTTGTCGTCGTTGTCGTCGTTGTCGCCGTCGTCTTTCCTCCTCCCTCGTCGTCGTCTTCGTTGGCGACGTCGTCGTCGTCGGCGTCGGCGTCGGCGTCGTTGTCGTCGTCGAAGTCGTCGGAGACGTCGTCGGTGTCGTCGTAGTCGCCGTCGTCGTCGTCGTCGTCGTCGTCGTCGTCGACGTCGTCGTCGTCGTCGTCGGTGTCGTCGTTGTCGTCGTCGAAGTCGTTGGAGACGTCGTCGGTGTCGTCGTAGTCGGTGTCGGCGGCGCCGTCGTCGTCGTTGTCGCTGTCGTCGTCGGCGTCGGTGTCGTGGCCAAGTGTCATGTGGTACGTACCGTCACGGTCTTGTCTTAAGAGGTCTTGCGACCAAGTTGCGGGTGGGAGGGTGGGATGTTTGCACGAGCAGTGGAGAGGACAGCTTCAAGACGGTCAAAGATTAGTTGCACACCATAGGTTGCACAGCACAGATTGCACATGTATTGCGCCACATAAGTTGCTCCACGTAGATTGTTACATATCTATTGCACCTCGTATATCGCACCACTTGTATTGCACAGCCTAGGTTGCACAACGTAGGCCGCACAACATAGATGGCACAACGTAGTTGCATCACATAGGCTGGCCCACACCGGTTGCGCCACGCAAGTGGCCAGACACACACACACAGTTTAGGGCCCACGCTGGCTGGCACTCCTGGGAATGGAGCCCCCCCGCTCTGGGCACGGCGCGGCGCGCACTCTGTCGCCCGCCAGTGTGCCGACAGCGGGCTCGCGCGCGGTCGCGGGCGAGCGGCGCCGCGCTGCTCTCGCCTGCGGGTGGCGCCCCCCCCCTTGCTGGCGTGGGATGCCTGGCAGCTCAGCCACGGCGCTGCGGGCGGGGCCGCGCGCCGCCCAGGTTCCGTGCACACGCCGTTTGAGAACGGCGCCCCCGCTCGGGCACGGCGCGTGTTGCGTTACGGTGGGTTCGTGCGGCGACGGCGCGCCGTCAGCACCAGCGAAGGCGTGTAAGGCCGAATTCTGCGACGCGGAAGCACCGAGGGACACGGTGACGCCATTGGACCCGACGGACTTTGACCTTGAACGATCGGGGCCGCGATCGGTTCAAGGTTGAATCGACGCGGTGTCAAAACCCTCTGCGCGCGCCGACGCCGCGCGAAGCTGCCGCAGCCGAATCGCATGCAGGTGGCAGCGGCAGCGGGGCCGCGCGATACCCTGCAGAATGCGGTGTCCGCCCACGCGCCGAGCAGCTCGTGCGCGCGAGCGTGGCAATGCTGCTTCGGCGCGGCGCGTGCCATGCATCCGCCGCGCTCGCTGGAAGCTTGGGCCGCCCAGGAGGGGGCCAGACGGCGCTCTTGCCGCAGCACCGTGCACGGATCTTCGGAAGGCCGGATCGCACCCGTGCGCGGCACGTTTCTGCTGCCAGGTCGTCGGGAGCGGGACCGCGCGCGAGTCCCCTCCCTTCGCCAGGTGAGCGGCGCGTCGTCTGCGTTGCCAGTGTCGCGTCAAGCTGCCCGCGCAAGGTCGCGCGTGAGCGCCCCCGTTTCCCAAGCAGCGCGCCCCGCTGGCGGCCCGCACAAGCCACCGCGTAAGCTAGCGATGCCATCTCGCGCAAGACCCGCTTCTGCTTCGTCGCCCAGATGGGGATGCCGTCTACTCCCAGCACCAAACTGTCCCCCCGTTGACGCACGCTGTCCACTCCCAGCACCGAACTGTTCCCCCGTTGACTCCTTGGTTGTATCGGGGGGAGGGCTGGAACGGGCGAGGCCCGCCGACCCGCTCGGCCTGGCGAACTCGCTCCTCCTGTGGTTCCTGCTTTTTTTGTTTGTTCTCCGCCCTCTCACGCCTCGTCACTCCGCTTCCTCCGTCCTCCCCTCACTTGCGGTGTTCAGGGTTGCCTCCGTCTCGGACACCTTCTCGGGGGTTGGATCCAGGAGCTTCTCCTGGCCCCTTTCGGGGGGGTCCAAATCGGCCTGACGCTCGCCCGGCAGCGAGGGCTTGAGTCGTGGACAGCCCATCCAATCTGATCTTTCCAGTTTGTCCTGTCTCCTTTGCTCTGGTTCCCACAAGGTACCACGTGGTTCCTACCTTCGTGGCAATTTCTGTTGGCACGGGCTGTTGCGTTATTGCCGGACCGCACGTGGACGTGATGATGATGATGCTGATGATGATGATGATGATGATGATGATGATGATGATGATGATGATGATGATGGTGGTGATGGTGATGGTGGTGGTGGCTGTGCTTGTGGTGGTGTTGATGATGATGATGATGGTGGTGATGGTGATGGTGATGATGATGATGATGATGATGATGCTGATGCTGATGCTGATGCTGCTGCTGATGATGATGATGCTAATGATGATGCTGAGGATGAGGACGAGGATGATGATGATGCTGCTGCTGATGATGATGATGACGATGATGATGATGATGATGATGATGATGATGATGATGATGATGATGATGATGATGATGATGATGATGACGATGATGATGATGATGATGATGATGATGATGATGATGATGATGATGATGATGATGATGATGATGATGATGATGATGATGATGATGATGATGATGATGATGATGATGAGGATGAGGAGGAGGAGGAGGAGGAGGAGGAAGAGGAGGAGGAGGAGGAGGAGGAGGAGGAGGAGGAGGAGGAGGATGATGATGATGACGAGGAGGAGGAGGAGGAGGATGAGGAGGATGATGATGGAGCTCTTCGGCGACAGGGAGTGGCTTCGGTGGACAGACCGTCCGCCGCTCGAGGTAGAGGAGGAGGAGGAGGAGGAGGAGGAAGAGGAGGAGGAATAGGAGGAGGAGGAGGAGGAGGAGGTTGACGAGGGGTGGGAACCGAGGAGCGGGGGGGGGATGATGGAGGGCAGGGATGTGGGACGAGGTGGGAAGGAAAGATGGGGACGATGCCATCCATGCTTGTGCGACATCATTGGTTCAACGTACTGCAAGCAGTCGTCAGCGAGCTGACCTAGGTCCCGCGAGAAGAACTGAAACAGACGTGGGGAGGAGGGAGGGGAAGGGGAGGATGCGCGGGGAATGGGAAGGAGATGGGGGAGTGGGGAGATGTAGAAGTCATACATGCCTAGAGTCGGGTTGTATCGCTCCAGAGCCGGAACGCTTTGAAACGGTCGCGGCACCCGATAACATCGTCCATGACCGCTGGATTTCAGAGATCCACGACTTCACCTCTAAGGGTTTTTAGTTTTGATCCCCCCTTTTCACTCGGCGGTGGATAGGACTGGTCCTGGAACGTCGTCGTAGCCGCAGTCGCAGTCGCAGTCGTGGTCGTAGCTGACGTCGTCGTTGTTGCGCGGCGGGCGCCGCGGAAGAAGATGATTTGTTGCCCCCTGTTGGTGGGGCCCCAGTCCTGCAATCCGGCCGCCGAACAAACCATTCGTTACCCTTAGTGGGGGGGGGGGGTCGAAAGACCCTTCGGGGTTATCCCGATCCGAGGTTGTCCCGATCCTGGCCTCGTCTGGCGAGGCCGGCCGCGGCCAGGACCTACTTCGGGGACGTGGAGCAGCAGTACGTGGTGCTCCGGGGCACGCCTTCCTGGGCAGCTGTGCGGAGCTCCTCGCCGCAGCAGACGCCGCGCCAGGAGCCTCCTCGAGTCCTCCTCCGGGGCTGTTCTCTGTGACTCCTCCCTGTCGCACGCCGAGGCCAGTCGGACGGGCTGGCCGGGAATTTCGCCTGAGACTTCTTGATCCTGAAGGGTAGGCAGCAGCTTCAGAGATGGGGGGTGGGTCGCTTCCAAGACGTAGAGCTCTCGCCTCAGCACCGCGCACATGCTGTTCTAAACACTGCAAGAGCTTCACGCATTCAGGGCAGGCAGTTTCAACATGTGGCTCTCGCCTTAGCGCCGCGCACATTCGTGTTAAGAATTGTAAGCGTTTCGCGGCTTGAGGGCGGTTCCTTTTCAACATGTGGTCCTCGCCCTAGCACCGCACACAGTTTTCCACATTTGCAAGGGTTTCGCGGATTCCCATAGTACCAGATATGGTGTTTGGGAGCGATTCAGGACTGCCAGGGCGCAACAGGTACGTTCATTCGCGGTGTTTGTAGACGTCCCAGGAATGGTAGTATGGCACGATTCAGGGTCGTCAAGACGCAACAGTCAGGTTGATTCGTGGCGTTGGAGTCCCGATAATGGCATTCTGGCACGATTGAGGACCATCAAGACGCAACAGTCAGGTTGATTCGTGGCGTTGGAGTCCCGGGAATGGTGTTCTGGCACGAGTCAGGATCTTCAAACAGTTGTCTCCTAATGGGGCACTTTCCTCAGTGGAAATGAATCCTTGTAAGGGCCTGTGAAGAGGAAGCGTGGAGCGAGCCTCCTCGCCCTTCTCCTCGTCCTTCTCCTCGTCCTCCTCCTCGTCCTTCTCCTCGTCCTCGTCCTACTCCTACTCCTCCTCCTGCTCCTCCTCGTCTTCCTCCTAGTCCTCCTCCTCATCCTCCTCCTCCGCCTGTTGACAAGCAACAACACAAGCGTTCGCCTGTTGGTGTCGGACCTGGCGCAGGCCTCCGACAGCATGCTGGATTTAATCGAGGAGGACCTCGACTGCTCGGTCGCCTTGCACAAGGCTGCGGTGCTGGGCTCGTCCGCTGCAGTACAGCATCGCCTGGCCAAAGCTCTAGGTAAGTACAGTGGCCCCGCTGTGCTACAAGATCCAGGTCCCTGGCATTATCGATATTGGGGGACCCGACGTGGAGTGCTGCCCTGGGGCCGGCCTGTTATTGGGCCAACCTGATCTGGAGAGTTGCTCATTATCCTGGTACGATCGGCTTTTCTCTGGTGGGACTCCGTGAACAAGCCCTCCAGGTCCTCCACAAGCCCCCAACGAAGTGGTACCAGATCCTAGGGCCCTTAGGGGCCACGATGCTCAGCCTGAGCCGTCTGGGGTGGTCCATGCCCGACCCGCTCGTCTTTCGAGACTCGCAAGGCCAGGAGTACCCACTCATCACTACCTCCCCTGCCCTCATCAAGAAGCTGTTTCAATCCCAGTGGCAGTTGCAGTTAGACGTGAAGGCGGGGCAGAAGCTCGGTTTCGACGAGCCCCTCGACCCGTCGGTCATGCAGCACGCGCTGCAGGATAGTACAGTGCAGGCCTACAAAAGAAAGGCGCTGCTTTCATATGGCTGCCAGTGCATTTGGACCAAAGAAAAGATGGCCGAGGCAGGCTATCATAATGAAGTCGAATGCGAGCTGTGTAAGGGCCCCGTGGACTCCATCCCCCACAGGCTCCTCGAGTGCCCGCAGACCCGCAACCTGAGAGAGGACATGTTAAGTGAAGCAGATATCGAGGAGTTCAAGGACCCGAGGAGAGGATTTCCATATTTGTTAGGATTTCAACTTCGACCTGAACCCATAGCTCTGAGGCCCCCTGGTTTAGGACTAGATCAGGCTGTATATTGGTCTCGAGATGGGCTGCCCAAGGAGGTGGCCATGCAAGGTGAAGTTTTCCATGATGGCAGTGTTTTGAAACCTGGGCCCGCGGTGTACGATGCCCCCGCCTGGTCCGTGGTCAAAATCGACGAGGACGGCGACCTGGTTGCCAGTCTCTCAGGCCCTGTGGGGGCCAGCCTCCCCCCCACGTCGCCCTCTGCCGAACACCTGGGGTTTCTAGTTGCTGCGTCCTGCCCCAGAGTCACCAAAGCGTGGACGGATTTCAAGGGTATCCTCTCGGTGCACCAGAGCGCCGAAGTCTCACGTAATGAAATGTACTCAGGAGTTTCAGTTCTGGCCAGGACCCAGAGCTGCTTTGCGTCCCTCGAGATCGGGAAAGTAAAGGCCCACCAGGATCTGTCGTCCCTGGTGGTCGGCTCGAGGGACTGGTTTGTTGCCAAAGGAAACGACTGGGCGGACAAGGTGGCCAAACAAGCGGCTGCCAGAATCCCCGCCCCGTCCCAGAGAGAAATCGAGCATTACAAAGAATGCCGTAGCCGAGTTCAGAGGCTTGTGAAGTATGCTGCTGAGGCGCTTTCCTTGTGGGCCACTCGCTCCGAAGTCGGGCAAAAAGGCCTGCGAGAAGCCCGCCCAGAGTCTTAACCCCCCAGTTGGGGCAGCGGGAGCAGTCAGCCAGTGGACTGCACCACCCCCGCCCCCTATGGGTCGTCCTCGGCGTGCTCGTGCGTGCCGTAACCCCCAGGGCGTGGCCAGGCATCAGTGGGCATGGCTTAATAGTCACTGGCTGTGCCTAGCGTGTCATACCCGCGCCCGCACGGACAGCACTCGCAAGACCCGCATGCGTGAAGCATGCCCAGGCAGGTAATTCAGTCATGTTGTCAAAGTTAATTCGGGACCCCCAGAAGCACCATTTAATGATATGTGATTACCTTGATGTCGAGTCCTTCCTAGTCGTTTGTAAGAGGTGCGGCCGCTACAGCGAAAGCAACCTCAAAGGACTCAAAGGTGAATGCAAGGAGAGCTTCCAAAGCAAGTTCTCCCAAGGTGCGTGGTCCCTCCTGGCAAGCGGCCGTCATCCCAAGAGTAGTATGAAGGCCCGCCCCCGACTTTCCCTGCCCATCCCTGCGGCCCAGCTCCTCAAGGAAGGAGGGGCGACGTAGGGACGAAAGCGAGCGTAAGGGGAGAGCGGATGTAACCCTCAGGTTTCGGTTAGGGTCGGGTCGGCCTAACCCTAGCCTTCCTCATTAGCATGCGATGGTCCTCCTCCTCCGCCTCCTCCTAGTCCTCCTCCTTCTCCGCCTCCTCCTCCTCTTCCTCGTTCTCACCTTTTTCTTCATCAATGGGGGCGCCGCGCCACCCTTGCAGAAGCCGGCCCCCCCTCCCAAGCAGAAGGGAAAAGCGTGTGCTGCCAGAAGTGGTCCTGGCCCAAGGTGCCCCCCCGCTGGCTCAAGCGCGGCCTGCGTATCGACGCGATTGGCGCCCACTGCAGCCAGCACTGCGGCGGCGCCGTCGGCAGCCTCACCAACCTCGACAGCTCAGCGTGTTTCCCGAGGGCAGCGGCAGCGAACCGCCCATCGGCAAGGTCTTCGACGAGGCGGTGGAGCACCTGCGCCCGCTCGACAGGGACCTGCTCGTCTTCTGCGCGACCTCGAGCCTCGTCGCCTTGCGCTCTGCTGTTGCTCGGCGCGTCGCAGGACGCGCGGGACTCCAACGGGTCCACCTGCCTCCACGTCGCCTGCCGCAGCGGGGCGCTGCCCGTCATATATGACGGGCAGCGCCTGTGTCCAGCTGCTGCGCCACGCGCAGCTGCTGAACACGGCCGACGTTGCAGGCTGGACGCCGCTCCACGTTGCCGCCCACATGGGCAGCGGCTGCTCGAGGCGCGCTCGGACCCGCTGCGGCGGAGTGCCCAGGGCCTGTCCCGGGCGATGCTGTGCATCGAGCCGGCGTGCCTCGACCAGCTCGAGAACTGGGGCCCAGCCGCGGATCTGCAGGAGCAGCCGGGGGAGCCCCAGCGCTGGGCCAGAGTGGCTCGCCGACGACACGGCTCGCCGACGACACGGTTGGCATACCAGACGCGTGCGAGCCATGTTTGGTGTTCGTGCCTTGGCCCCCCGCGGCGAAGCTGAAAAGAAGGGGCAACACGAAAAGGCATGCTGAAGCTTGGGTCGCGGCTGCTCCAGCTGCAGCCGAGCCGCGGCCTGGCGTTCGTCGTCGCCATCGGGCTGTACGACAGCTACCAAGCCGCCATGAAGGCCGTCATCAGGGCTTCGTCTCAACGCCCCCAGGCGATCGGCGACTTCCTTGGCGAGGCCTTCTCCGTCTGTGAGCTCGTCCGCTTCTGCATGTTCGATGCCTTGCCCCTGTGGAACACGGGCGTGGTATCGGCGCTCCAGCGGGCCTTCTTCGCATTCCCACTGCAGATGGACCTGAGGAAGATCGATCGCCTGGTCACGGGCCTGGCGCAGATCTGGTGGAGGAAGCGCAAGGCGATGGCCGCGGCTGTGTTGGTGGACGGCCCTCGCGAGCTCAGCGCTGACGCGTTCGGCGGCAAGGGGGAGCTTTCTGGGCTGGACTTGTGGCGGTCCTTGACGAGCTGCCACGCGCTTCAGCAGCTCATGTTCTCGACCGTGATGCTCCATTGGGATATCTCTACAGTGGCGACCCAGCCGTGGCCAACCGAGAGCTGCACCTGGAGGACTGGGTCTCACTGCGCTGGTGCCCCGAGGGTGGCGGCACCGTGCCCGAGCACGTGCTGAGGAGAGTCCACGCCGCGGTGGCCGCTGGCTCCTCGAAGGAGCTGGCCCTGCAGTCCCCGGCGCTGTCGAGGCTGTCGTCGCTGGAGAGGGGATCCACGCGCTAAGCCGGCCCCTGTCCGGCGCGGGCGCCGCGCTGGGCGCCGCGCTGTGGCGCTGGCGCAGCCGCGGCTCCAGCGAGAGCCTCCCGCGCGGCGGCTCGCCGGGAGACGCCGGGGCCGGCCCCTTCGGCGCCGGCCGGGCGGCCGCACCGTCGCCGCAGGCAGCGCGACGGCGGTGTGCTGCTGGGCCAGCGTGTGCTCCCCGTTCCTGCTGCTCGCGGCCGGGCCGCCGACCGCCGCGGCGACGGACCCGCACGCGCTGCTGGCCCCGAGGACTGTCCAGGACGAGGCGATGAGGACGGGGCCTCGAGCTGCTGCGTGCAGCTGGTTTCGGCCCCGCCGCCGAGCCCATTCCTCGATACACGGGAAAATCAGCTACACATGAGCTGACTCTCTACCCTGCCCTTGGCCTTCCGTTCCCCCCGAGCCCTCGAGGGAGCCGCGCGGGCGGAGTCGGTGCAGCTCGCGCTGCTGCCGGGACCGAGAGCTGCGCCTGCCGGGCGGCGAACGGCGCCGGCAGGGGCCGGTGCGCTGCTGCTCGAGGGAGGGCGCGGGCCTCCCCCCGCGCCCGCCCCAAGGGGGTTTGGCGCGCGCTGGCGGTGCGCTGTGAATGCGTTTCTCCGGAGTGTGTGCGTCAATCGTCGCAGGCCTAGAGGTTGGCACCAACACCAAGATCGGCTGTCTGCCTCCACCGAGGGAAGAAGATCCCGATCTCGGTGATGGCGGTAATGTCCTGGCTTCCATTGTGGCCAGAAATACTACCACCAACACCGAAATCTAGGATCAGCTTCCCGCTGTGGAGGCAAAACCCCCTGCGTTGGTGTTGGTGCCCATTTCCAGGCCTCCTAAATCGTGCTCAATCTGGCCTGCTTCCGCAGAGTGTAGAGTTTGCAGCAGAGTCGCACTGTCTTGCCAATTCGCGTTTTCTTGTTGTTATACATTTGTGGCCGTTGGGGCCATATGGGGTTACTACACAGCGTGGCGTTCCGCACCCACGGCCAATTTCTTTGGCTCGCTTCTGGCGGCTTGGCCAGTGTGCATCAGCGCTACACTACAATCCTCAACCACGGTTTGTCTAGCGCCTTGCCGATTTTGTCTAGCGCCTGGTCGGTCTCCTTTCCTTTTCCCCTCCCCTCTGCGCTGCTTGCGTGCGTCTCTCTACCCCTCTCCTCTCGCCTCGTTTCACTCCTTGTCGTTCCCCCGTCGTCGTCGTCGTTGTCGTGTCCTCTGGGCGCCAGGCGCCATTGCGACAGGATTGCCGCTTTGCAGTGTGGATGTGATTTGTGGTACGTCATTCATTGGATGTTGTGCGCTGGAAGGAAGAACATGGCTTGTCTAGAATCTGTGAGCCAATCGTGCTCAATTCGATTCCCTGCCGATGCGCCGTTGCCTGGTGCCTGGCTTGACTGACTGACTGACTTGGGAGTCCCTAGAGCCCCCTGTCGGCGGCGAGCCAAATAATAGCAAGCCAAACAGTTGAATTCGGGAGTCTCATCGCATGCTGCACGTAGTCATCTCCAGCTCCTGAGTGCGTCACTGTCATCCCGATCCACACGCAAGTGCGGTCCTGCACGCCAGTGCCGAGCTACACTTGGATCGGCGGCGAGCGAGGGGGGGAAGTAGAAGGCTGCGGGGCTTCTCAGAAGGCCTCCGTTTTCTATGCCTTTGGGGAAGGCTCAGAGCACTGATCAGCTGGCCGGGGGACTTACGAGCCTTCTGAGAACGCCCTTCCTTTCTCACTTCCCCCACGGTCTCGCCGCCGACTGGGCCTCGTGAGGGGTGCCGTGGGTGGCTCCTCGGAGACCCTCGGGGCCCCCTCGCGCAGACAGAGGAGCGCACGCCATTTTGGCCGAGACGTTGTCTGCACAGCCTGGCCGATGCGCATGCGGGTGGGCGCACGGAGCCGGCGGAGTGTCGGAAGCGGCCGAGGGGAGGAACAACAAAGAGAACGAAACGAGATCCAGGGACGATGAGCCTGGTCAGGCGGGGCGAGCGTGGAGGAGCGTGGAGGAGCGTGGAGGAGCATCGAGGAGCGTGGAGGAGGAGGAGCGTGGAGGAGGAGGAGGAGGAGGAGGAGGAGGAGGAGGAGGAGGAGGAGGAGAAGGAGGAGTTCTAGAAGGTTCTGGGGGCCCTGGGGGAGAGGCGGCGCCCCCCGCGCCCGCAGCGGAGAGCTCGACGAGGGCCGCAGGGCGGCAGAGAGAGAGAGAGAGAGAGAGAGCGCGCTCGCCCTTGCCAGGACTCGCCGCGGCGCGCCCCGGCGGAGCCACGCTCGCCCCGCCCGTCCTCGCCCGCGGGCGCGCCGCGGCAGGAGCCGCTGTCTGCGCGGGCGCCCTGGGACCCGCGGGCGCCGAGCCGCGGCGACCCGGAGGAGGAACACGGGCAGCCCACCCGCACAGGAAGGATGGGCAGCTCTCCAAGGTTGCCCTTGCTGCGTGTGAAGACCGCTCCTCTCCTCCCTCTGCCCATCCATCCGACGATCCTCTCGGCTCAGGTATTGGACAGTCCTATCGGACAGCGTGCCCGATGACTAAGAGGGGAAAGGACGCTGTCACTCTTTCACCTCGTCTTCTACCAACGGATTCGACGGCAGGTTCGGCCTTTCGGTTGGTAACCTCCGTTTGCTCTTGCATCCTTGCCCTTCGGCCCATCCCTGGTTGCCTTGGCTGGCCGCGCCCCGCTCGCAAAGTGCTGGTTCGGCCCTTCGGTTCGTAACCTCCCTTCGCTGTTGCATCCTTGCCCTTCGGCCCATCCCTGGCCGCCTTGGCTGGCCGCGCCCCGCTCGCAAAGTGCCGAGACGGCCTGCCAGGGCCCTTGCATCCTTCGCGTGCGTCCTTGCTCTACGGGTTGGCCGTGCCCGCCTTCGGTCGAAAATTCGGGGGGGCCTTGTGTACCGTCTTGGTTCCGTCCTTAGCGTTAAGTCGGGCCTGTTCCTCTACAGGAGGGACATTCAAGAATAGTAAACAAATAAAGCGGGGAACGGTTTTTACCTAACAGCGAAGACTGATAGGTCTCTAGTGGTCTCAAAAGAGAGCATCATGACTCCCCAGGGGGGTCTGGGCGGGATCCGGACAGGGTGCCCCGGGAAACCGGGGATTCATTTTTTTAGCCAACAGTAACGCATTTCGTGGTCTTCGAGTTCCCAGAACTCCATTCCTGGGCATGATTTTGAATGCCCGGAGCCAACTGTAGGCCACTTCGTGGTCTTCGAGTTCCGAGAACTCCATTCCTGGGCATGATTTTGCATGCCCGGAGCCAACTGTAGGCCACTTCGTGGTCTTCGAGTTCCGAGAACTCCATTCCTGGGCATGATTTTGCATGCCCGGAGCCAACTGTAGGCCACTTCGTGTTCTTCGAGTTCTCAGAACTCCATTGCCGGGCCACATTTTGAATGCTGAGGCAGGCTGAGGCTGAGGCTGATGCTGAGGCAGGCTGAGGCTGAGGCAGGCTGAGGCTGAGGCCGAGGCTGAAGGCAGGCACTGAGGCTGAGGCTGAAGCAGGCTGAGGCTGAGGCTGAGGCAGGCTGAGGCTGAGGCTGAGGCAGGCTGATGCTGAGGCAGGCTGAGGCTGAGGCTGAGCTGAGGCCGAGGCCGACGGCAGACTGAGGCTGCTGAAGCAGGCTGAGGCTGAGCAGGCTGAGGCTGAGGCTGATGAGGAGGCTGAGGCTGAGGCTGAGGCTGAGGCAGGCTGAGGCTGAGGCTGAGGCTGAGGCTGAGGCTGAGGCTGAGGCTGAGGCTGAGGCTGAGGCTGAGGCTGAGGCAGGCTGAGGCTGAGGCTGAGGCTGAGGCTGAGGCTGAGGCAGGCTGAGGCTGAGGCTGATGAGGCTGAGGCAGGCTGAGGCTGAGGCTGAGGCTGAGGCTGATGCAGGCTGAGGCTGAGGCAGGCTGAGGCTGAGGCTGAGGCTGAAGGCTGAGGCACTGAGGCTGAGGCTGAAGCAGGCTGAGGCTGAGGCTGAGGCAGGCTGAGGCTGAGGCTGAGGCAGGCTGATGCTGAGGCAGGCAGGCTGAGGCTGAGGCTGAGGGCTGAGGCTGAGGCAGGCTGAGGCTGAGGCCGAGGCCGAAGGCAGACTGAGGCTGAGGCTGAAGCAGGCTGAGGCTGAGGCTGAGGCAGGCTGAGGCTGAGGCTGAGGCAGGCTGATGCTGAGGCAGGCTGAGGCTGAGGCTGAGGCTGATGCAGGGTGAGGCTGAGGCAGCTGAGGCTGAGGCCGAGGCTAAAGGCAGACTGATGCTGAGGCTGAAGCAGGCTGAGGCTGAGGCTGAGGCAGGCTGAGGCTGAGGCAGGCTGAGGCTGAGGCTGAGGCAGGCTGAGGCTGAGGCTGTGACTGCGACTGCGTTGCCACTGCGACTGTCATCACTAATGCGACTACGACTGCGAGAACTGCAGAATTCTACAACTGGATTATCATCTGAATCTTAAGGGGAATGCTTCCAGATATGCTCCTACACATCGCTGTTAGGTTGCTTTGCTGGGATAATTTGATTATCTTTGAGCATATTTGGCGTATGTTGTTGGATAGTCTTAATTTGCCGCCCAAAATCCCCCTGTAGGGGGACAGGTCCCACTTAATCTTAGCGTCGATGAGCGCCGAGATGCGCTTGGTAATCAATGGGATAGCGTCGACTGGCGTCCGCTAGCGTCGAGTAGCGTCGATTTAGTGCCGATCACCGTCGATTAGCGTCGACCACCGTCGGCCAACTAGATGGTAGGGGAGGCTCCCATGAGGTTCCTCCGAACCCGCCGGTCGTTGAAGGTTGGTAGTGTGAAGGCCTTACGGCCGGTGCCGCCGACCTTGAAGACGACGACGAGGAGGAGGAGGAGGAGGAGGGGGATGAGGAGCAGGAGGAGGAGGAGACGGAGGACGCGGTGGAGCAGTAGCAGGAGGAGGAGGAGGAGGAGGAGGAGGAGGAGGAGGAGGAGGACGAGGTGGAGTTGGGGCAGGAGGAGGTCGGGGAGGGCAATGAGCAGGTGGAAGACGATGAAGACGAGGCGGAGGAACAGGAGGAGGATGAGGAGCAGGGGGAGGTGATGCTTGTCGGGGTCTCTTCGGAGCGCTTTCGTGGGCCTCTGGTTGGCAGTTGGGGAGCGTTTTCGGAGACTCTGGGGGCGCCTCTTGGGAGCCTCTTGGGGGCCTCCAGGGGCTTCTTGGGGGCGTCTTGGAGGCCTCGTGGGGCCTCGTGAGAGCCTCTCGGGGGCGAGGGCTCGAGATGTCCGTTCTGGTCCCCCGTCTGGGCGCCCTCTTGAAGCCGTCTTGGGTGCCTCTTGGCCTGCCTTGGAGGCGTCTCGGACCGTCTTGGGGCCCTCTTGGGCTATGTTGGGAACCTCTTGGAGGAAATTGGACCGTCTTGGGGCGATCTTGGGGGCCTCCTGGGCCATCTTGAAGCGTCGGGAAGCGGAAGCTGCGAGGACGCCCAAATCCTTCAAAAGCCAAAGACATTGATGAAGCCGCCATCTTGGGAGTGTTCTTGGAGGCCTGTTGGGGCGTCTTGCAGGCCTCATTGGCCGTCTGGAAGCCGTCAAGGCGTCTTGGACAGATCGTTCGGCGATTCGGGGCCCTCTTGGACCGTCTTGGGGGCCTCTTCGGGCACTCTTGGCCCGTCCTCGGGCTTTTTTGGGACCCGGGACCCCCCGAGGGGGGAGTCGTATCTGGGGGGCGACCCCCCCAGGGGAGGAGTCGTATTTGGGTGGCGACCCCCCCCCTGGGGCACCCCTGGGACCCCTCCCCCCGACGGGGGAGGGATCAAAGGGAAGGGGCTTCCGTTCGACTGAAGTGCGACGTTGCGCAAGTTCGCTTGGGCTGGCGCGCCTGAGGAGGAGGGCCCAGGAAGAGGGGGAACGGGGGGGCGGCGGCCCCAGGGAAGCGGTGGGCGCAGGGACAGGGGACGACAGCGACGACGACCAGCGAACGACGGAGACGACGACCCGAGCAGACAGGCCGCTCCCACGCGCCGACAGGGTGGGCGGATGCCTCGGATCTCCGGGCCCCGGTCCTGCTTCCAGCGCCTTCCTGCTTCGGGGATCGATCCGTCCCTGCCGCTGCCCTCTGCTGCTCTCGGGGCGGGCCCGGGCCCTCCCGCTTCTTGCGTCCACCTGCGACCAACCCGCGCAGTATTAAGGACGGGCACCCTTCCCAAGGGTACCCTCGCATCCTTGCCCCCTCGGTCCATCGTTGGCCACTTTCGCTGGCCGCGTACCTGCATTCAGCCCGCACAGTGAGGACGGGCACCCCTCCCAAGGGTACCCTCGCATCCCTGCCCCCTCGGCCCATCGGTGGCCACTTCCGCTGGCCGCGCCCGCTCGAAACGCTTCGAGACGGGCGGCCAAGGCCCTTTGGCATCCTTATCCCGCATCCTTGCTGTGCGGGTGGAGTGTACCTCCTCCGACGGCGGGGTGCCCCAGATCCCCCAGCGACAGGATTTCTGGTCCCTCCGCCGTGCTTCTCCCCGAGCTCGGCCTCCAGGGCCCGTCGGGCCTCTCTTGTGGAGACTGACGGCTTCCTCGTCCTTGAGAGTCCAGGGCGGTCCAATGAGGCCCCCCAGGCCGGCCCAAGACAGCCCAGGAGGGCTCCAAGACGGCCCAAGAAGGGGCCCAAGATGAGGCCCGAGATGGCCCAGGAGGCACCAGGACCGCCCGAGATGCCTCCAAGGAGGCCCCAAGCTCGGCCAGCCGAGGGGTCGGGGCCATCGCGGGGCCGCGCATGGAAGAGATCACACGGTCGGAGTTCTGGGCGCCGATGCCGCCCGGGCGGGGCCAGGGCGAGGACAACTCCGCTCCAGAGCGTTCTCGAACGCTCCACGCTCTCAGAGCGCTCTGGAACGCTCTGGGAAGGCCGCGGCGCCCGAGGCATCCTCTTAGAGCGCGACGAAGTCGATGCATACCTACCCACTTCTCCCTCCCTCCTTCGACGAGGGAAGTCGGCCTGGGAGTGTTCTCTGCTGGGCGCCGGGGGGGTGGAGTGTGAGTGAGAGAGAGAGAGAGAGAGAGAGAGAGAGAGAGAACAAACAAAAACACTTCTCCCTCGCCAGGCCCATCCTGAACCTGGGAGCTGCGTATGCGCCCTCCTGGCCGAGCCACCGGGGCGTGGCGCATACACCGCTGCTGGGCTCCGGATGGGCCTGGCCAGGGAGCAGCGGATGTGCGCAGATCTCGGCGTCCTACCTTCAGGGCCGCCTGCGAACCGATTCGATGCTGTGGCTCCTGGACTGCTCTTGGGAGGAGGAGGAAGAGGAGGAGGAGGAGGAGGAGGAGGAGGAGGAGGAGGAGGAGGAGGAGGAGGAGGAGGAGGAGGAGGGGGGGAGAGGAGGAGGGGAGGGGGAGGGGGAGGAGGAGGAGGAGGAGGAGGAGGAGGAGGAGGAGGGGGGAGGAGGAGGAAGAGAGGAGGAAGAGAGGAGGGGGAGATGCGGTGCGATTCGCTGGCCGAGGCCGCGATTCCGGCTCGGCTCGGTGCGGCTCGATGCTCACGGGCATCTGCTGGGGCCAGCGTCGGAGCAGGGCGCGGGGGTGTCATACGTTTCGGTTCGGTTCGGGGCGACTCGCTGGCGAGCGGATCCGTTCCCGATCCGATCCGATCTCTCGATTCTCAGAGGAGGAAAACCCAGACCCTTCCCCCAGGACGGGCTTTTCATCCCGAGTCGTTTTTGACAGTCCTGGGGGCCGGCGAGGGCCCCCAGGGGCCGAGAATAGCGAAAGACCTCCGCCCTGATTTTTCTTAACGACGCGATCATGTCTGGGAAGGAACCCATATTATTACACTTCCCGCGTTTGCCCCTTCTTGGGCTTTTTGAGATGCCCTCGTCGCCACGGCCGTATTCGCTTCGCGATTCTGGTCAGAACTCACCCTTGGGGGGAGTTCCAGGGAGTAGCGGTATGGGTACCTGGTGATTTCCCGTTCGATCCAGCTCAGGCCTGCTCTTCCGTCGGCGCCACGGCTGGGTTCGCCTGGATCGATGTCCGGGTCTGACTGCCCCCCGAGAGAGTTCTGCACACTGGCGGTGTCCGGGCGGCAGGTGCGTGGCGTGTCGGCGTTGCGGCGGCCTCGCTGCGGGCGTGCAAGGCTGAACGCTGCCAGTGGCCCCAAATCGGCCAACATTCAAGGGCATAACAAAGCGCCCCTACAGTGGTTTGCGAGGCGCTGTGCGCGGAAACTCCTGTGGGCTGACGGGGTAGACCCTGCGTGATGTGCGGCGCCCTGGCGGCTCTCTAGGCGGCTTACAGACCACGCACCTGTAACCCAGGGCAGGGTCGTTTTTTCATCCCTCAAAATACGGAACGATTGGGCGACGGAGCAGCCGCCGATCCTTCAAGATTGAACGGCCCACGTGGAGTCGGAAACCAACGCCCGGGTCGTCAGGACACGAGCCTGCCGTACCTTTTTTTGTCGCCCCCCAGGCGACGGTGGTCCCGACTCTGGTCAGATGTATTCGACTGTGGCAGCACGTGTGGTTCTTCTTCTCCGACTGCAGCCCACTCCGGCGCCCCGGCGCCCTCCCGCCGCCCCCTCGTAGGTGCCTCGACGCGGGCTCTCGTCTCTTGTCTTGTCTCCCCCCAGGCGACACCGCGAGGACCTGCCGATCGACCTCGTCGTCGTCGCCGCCTCCGGGCCGGCGGTGGCCGCAGGAGCGGATCGGGCCGGGGGACCTCTGAGCCGGCGCCCGTCCGCGCGACCGCTGCCTGGGGGGGGCGTTTTTCCCGATCGTTTGCACGCTCCCAGTCGTGGGCAGTTGGCCAGCCAGGGGGGAGCATCGGAGACGCTTTCGGTACTGATCACACTGGTGTGTTTGTGTCTCTCTCTCTCTCTCTGTCTCTCTCTCTCTCTCGCTCTCACTGTTTTGGCTTCCTCCCTCTATCTATATGTACGTAGATACAAGGCTGCATTGGCGCTTAGCGCCATGCACTTGAGGCCTTCAGGTTTGGCATGCAGGCAGGAAGGCAATCAGGTAAGACTGAGCATTTAGAGCCAACTCGTTGTTGCCTTTTTCTGGCATCGTCGTTGTAATAATGTGATTCGTTATCCTTCTCTCATGCTTCCTCTTCCTCTTCGACATTTTCGCCCTACACTGCGAATTCGCCACCATCCTCAGCTCTTTGTGTGGAGGCTCATCCTAGGAGAGCCTCTTGCAAGTCTCACGAAGGTTTTTAAGGGCTTGTTGGGGCCTTCTGGAAGCCTCCTGGGTTCCTTCTGGGGGCCACTGGGGGCTTCCCTGGACCACCCTGCTTCCAACCGCAGTCTCCCTGAACGACCGGGTCACGATTTGGAATGATTCGGGATGCGTCTTGGGGTCATCTTTGGCCGTCATGCGGCTCTCTTCGGGCCATCTTGGGGCCTGTTGGGCCTTCTTGGGGCTCCTCTTGGACTGCCTGGAAGCCCTCTTGGTTCAATTTAGGGCGATGCTCTGGCTTCTTGGGCAGTCTCGGACGCCCGAAAGGCCGAAGAACTGAGCATTCCCAGAATCATGCAAAATCCATTGGAAATCATTTTTTGGGGGGTTTCGAAGGCCTCTTGGGGGTCTTCTTTGGGTCGTCTTCGGGCGTCTGGTGGGTGTCTGGGGCCTCTGTGGGCTCTCGCGGGGCCGTCTGGCCGCCCTCCTGACCGATGTGGGCCCGTTGCCTAGGCCTAGCAGGGGCTTCATGAGCCCCGGAAAGCAAAGGAGACCGTCTGCAAAGGCGTCCAGGGTGCCCCCAGGGCCAAGGATCCGGAGGGGTCCCGTTTAGGGGGGGGTCGCAGGGTCCCAGACTATAAAATTATTCACTGCGTGGGGATCCCCATATGTGCATCTCCTTGCTGGCGCTCCCTTGGTGGTGGGACTCGGTGAGGACGAATCTGGATTTAAGTGTGACTGAGCTGCCTCTCTCTCTCTCTCTCTGCTCTCTCTGTCTCTCTCTCTCTCTCTGCCCTCTCTCTGTCTCTGCCTCTCTTTCCCTGCCTCTCTCTCTCTCTCTGCCTCTCTCTCTGCCTCTCTCTCTCTGCCTCTCTCTCTCTCTCTGCCTCTCTCTCTGTGCCTCTCTCTCTCTGCCTCTATCTCTGCCTCTCTCTCTCTCTCTCTCTCTCTCTCCTCTCTCTCTTCTCTCTATTCTCTCTCTGCTCTCTCCTCTCTCTCTCACTCTCCCTCTCTCTCTCTCTCGCTCTCTCTCTTCTCTCTCTTCTCTCTTCTCTCTTCTCTTCTCTCTTCTCTTCTCTCTCTCTCTATCTCTCTCTCTCTCTCTCTTTCTCTCTCTATCTCTCTCTCTCTCTCTCCCTCGCTCTCTCTCTCTCTCTCTCTCTCTCTCTCTCTCTTCGCTCTCTCGCTCTCTCTTGCTCTCTCTCGCTCTCTGTCGCTCTCTCTCGCTCTCTCTCTCTCTCTCTCTCGCTCTCACTCGCTCTCTCTCGCTCTCTCTCGCTCTCCCTCGCTCTCTCCCGCTCTCTCTCTCTCTCTCTCTCTCTGCTCTCTCTCTCTCTCTCTCTCTATCTCTCTCTTCTCTTCTCTTCGCTTCTCTTCTCTCTCTCTCTCTCTCTCTCTCTCTTCTCTCTCTCTCTATCTCTCTCTCTCTTCCTTCCTCTTCTCTTTCTCTTCTCTTCTCTCTCTCTTCTCTCTCTCTCTCTCTCTCTCTTCTCTTCTCTCTTCTCTCTCTCTCTCTCTCTCTCTCTCCTCTCTCTCTTCTCTCTCTCTCTCTCTCTCTCTCTCTCTTCTCTCTCTCTCTCTCTCTCTCACTCTCTCTCTCTCTCTCTCTCTCTTCTCTCTTTCTCTCGCCTGTCTCCTCTCTCAACTCCCCCTCTCTCTCTCTCTCTCTCCGCTCTCTCTCTCTCTCTCTCTCTCTCCTCTCTCTCTCTCGCTGCCTCTCTCTCTCTCTCTCTTGCTCTCTCTCTCTCTCTTTCTCTCCTTCTCTCTCTCTCTCTTCCTCTCTCTCTCTCTCTCTCCTCTCCCTCTCTCTCGCTGCCTCTCTCTCTCTCTCTCTCTGCTCTCTCTCTCTCTCTCTCTCTCTTCTCTCTCTTCTCTCTCTCTCTCTCTCTCTCTATCTTCCTCTCTCTCTCTCTCTCTCTCCTCGCTCTCTCTCTCTCTCTCTCTCGCTCGCTCGCTCGCTCGCTCTCTCTCTCTCTCTCTCTCTCTCTCTCTCGCTCGCGCTCGCGCTCGCGCTCGCGCTCGCGCTCGCGCTCGCGCTCTCTCTCTCTCTCTCTCTCGCTCTCTCCCGCTCTCTCTCTCTCTCTCTCTCTCTCTCTCTCTCTCTCTCTCTCCTCTCTGCTCTCTTCGCTACTGGCTTCTGACGGAGTCTGGGTTAGGTGAGCCTGAGTGTGGGTGAGTCTGAGTATGGGTACGTCTGTGTGTGCCTGACTCTGAAGAAATGAATCTGAGTGTGAGTGAGCTTGTGTATGAGTGAGTCTGGGTGCGAGTCTGAATCCCAATGGTGCCCCTGGCAGTGTCTGGCGACTAGGAGGCCCGGGTCGACTCCTCTTTGGGAAGCCAAAATGCTGTCCCCTGGCAGCGTTTGGTGATATGAAGCCCCTGGTGGACCCCCCTGGGGCTCCCAAGTGATGCCCCTGGCAGCGTTTTGTGACCATGAGGCTCTCAAGAGATACATGTTGGGGACGCCAAACGGCAATTCTAGCTGAGGCGTCCCACCAAAATCGGCGCGAACGGGCTCGTGAGATCAGCCAGGGTGGCTCCCCCTTGGGGCTCCCAAATGATGCCCCTGGCAGCGTTTTGTGACCATGAGGCTCTCAAGAGATACATGTTGGGGAGGCCAAACGGCAATTCTAGCTGAGGCGTCCCACCAAAATCGGCGCGAACGGGCTCGTGAGATCAGCCAGGGTGGCTCCCCCTTGGGGCTCCCAAATGATGCCCCTGGCAGCGTTTTGCGACCATGAGGCTCTCAAGAGATACATGTTGGGGGCGCCAAACGGCAATTCTAGCTGAGACGTCCCACCAAAATCGGCGCGAACGGGCTCGTGAGATCAGCCAGGGTGGCTCCCCCTTGGGGCTCCCAAATGATGCCCCTGGCAGCGTTTTGTGACCATGAGGCTCTCAAGAGATACATGTTGGGGAGGCCAAACGGCAATTCTAGCTGAGGCGTCCCACCAAAATCGGCGCGAACGGGCTCGTGAGATCAGCCAGGGTGGCTCCCCCTTGGGGCTCCCAAATGATGCCCCTGGCAGCGTTTTGCGACCATGAGGCTCTCAAGAGATACATGTTGGGGACGCCAAACGGCAATTCTAGCTGAGGCGTCCCACCAAAATCGGCGCGAACGGGCTCGTGAGATCAGCCAGGGTGGCTCCCCCTTGGGGCTCCCAAATGATGCCCCTGGCAGCGTTTTGTGATCATGAGAGAGTGTGAGTGTGAGTGAATGTGACTGTGAGTGAGTCTGAGTGAGAGTGAGTCTCATCTTATCTTATCGAGTCCTATCTTATCTTACCTTTATTACCCTCTATCTTATATTATCTTGAAATCTCTTATCTTGTCTTAGCTTATCTTATATCAACTCATCTTATCGCATCATATCTTGTCTTATCTTATTACTCCATAGGCTGTCTTATCTTATCTATTATCCCACCTTGTCATATATCTTATCTTACATTATCATATCTTGTGCTATGTTATCTTATCTTGTAGTATCTTATCTTGTCTTGTCTTATCTGGTGATTATCATTGGGAGGAGGGAGGCGGGAGGCGGGAGGAAGAAGGAGGAGAAGGAGTGGGAGGCGTCAGAGTAATAACAAGAACCCCAATCCTTAGGAGATGGGGAAATATAGGAAAGGGAATGTATCACTATCTCTCTTTATCTCTGCGTGTCTGCGCGTTTGCCTGTGTGTGTGTTTTTGTGTGTGTGTGTGTGTGTGTGTGTTCGTGTGCTCGTGTGTTTGTGTTAATTCAAGCTTCGCGCGGCCCGCTTAGCTTCGACCAGAAGAGTGCGCTCTCAACCCGCGAATCAAAAGTTTGTGTGTGTGCGTGTGGTTGTCCGGCCTTTGGACGCCCGTGTGGATTCATTCCGCGGCCGCGTGCGACCAAATGTGTGTGTATGCGTGTGCGTATGCGTGTGCGTGTGCGTGTGCGTGTGCGTGTGCGTGTGCGTGTGCGTGTGCGTGTGCGTGCGTGTGTGTGTGTGTGTGTGTGTGCGCGCGTGTGTGTGTGTGTGTATGTGTGTATGCGTGCATGCGTGTGCGCGCGTGTGTGTGTGTGTGTGTGTGTGTGTGAGTGTGTGTGTGTGTGCGTGCGTGTCCCAGGGTCTTGGTGGAGAGGTCCGAGCATGCAGCAGGGCGGGCGCATCTCGCTTACGTGCAGCATCGTCACAGTGTCTGCTCCCGGCTCGCGACGCGCTTCCTTGCGGCCACGCGCAAAGGGGGTAGGGGGATGGGGGGAGGCTTCTTGGAAGCACCCCTGCTTCTTAGAAGGCGCGAGCCTTGTCTGAAGATGTAAGGCCGACGCCGCCTAAGGAGCAGCCTCTTTCTAAGAAACCTTCCCCCCTCCGCCTACCCCCTTGTGCGCGCCGCCAATCCCCTCCAGAGCTCAATCTACTGAAAGGTACGCTGCGCATCTTGTCTGACTTGCCCATTGGCAACGCCGTTCGCCAACTTTGTGTGCACCTTCGGCTACTGCACCAACACACCTCATAACCATCGCACCGAATAAGCTGCCTCTGCCCAGGGGTGTCTCATGGTATCGTCAAGTGTGTTGGAGCATGCTGCGGTATGCGCTCGGGTATTCATTCGCTGATACCGCGAATGTCCGTGAACCGCTGTGCGGCCGTTCACAACGAATATATGAGTGCTCCTGATCAGCAAAGCGGATTCGGCAGTCCGCCCCGATGGGAGGGGTCACCGGTGGCTACAGCGATGCGACTGTCGGCTTTCCTTGTCCTCCCTTGTTTTCTCCCTCCTGCACGGTCTGCGTGTGGTGCTGAATTCTCTGACACGCCCGCTCGCCTAGCGCGGCTCTCTCTCTCTCTTTCTCTCTCTTCTTGCGCGCGACTGCCGCGCCCAGTCCACCCGCCTGCTGAGCCAGGCGCCCCCCGGTCCGAGGTATGCTCCAGCCTGCAGCGCCAGCGAGGGAGCCTCGCTCCGTTCTGGAGTCTCGCGGCGGCGCCGCCGCCTCGCCTCTGGAGGAGGAGCTGTGCGCGCGCGCGCGCGCGCGAGGGTGCCCGTCCGCCGACGGGACTCCTCGGCGCGCCGGCGCGCCAGAAGAACAGCTGCACTCGCGCGTGCCCGCGTCCGGAGGATGGAGTGGCGCGGTGGCCGCTCGCGGAGAGGGCGCGCGCGGAGAGGGCGCGCGCCGCGCGGTCGCCTGTGGGAGAGAAAGAAAAAACCTGCTCGAAGCGCCGGTCGGGTGCTGCCTTTCGGGGGCGCCAGCCGCGCCGGGCGGTGCGCCCCCTTTCCCTCCTCCCTCGAGGCGCGCGCCAGCCGCCCCGGGAGGTGCGCCTCCCCTCCCCCGCGGCGCCCAACCCGCCCAGGCGGCGCCCCGGCTTTTGCGCCAGCCCGTGCACCGATCAGGTGCGCTCTACCAGTGCCTGGGTGCCTGGATGATGGAGTCACCTGGCCCGGCCGCCGCGTCTTCAGGGCGCTGCGCCCGCCGACGGCTTGGACGACCCAGGTGTGGCGCTTCTGCCGCCCGCATGGGTCTCCAGGGCCTGCCTTCCGTCAGCCGTGCGCCTGGGCCAGCCGGCGCGTGGCGCGCACCAGGAGGCGCCCCTCTGCCACCCCGCCCGGGGCGCTGACGCATTCGCGCCTGCCGCCTCCAGGCTGGGTGCCGCCTGGGCCTGCTGCCATGCCTCCGGCTGGCGCTGGCCCCTTCTGCCCCCCCGCTGCCCTCGCAGTAGGGAGCCTTCGCCCCGCCCCCCCACGGGGCGGGGTGTGATGCGTGCGCCGGCTGTGTGCGGGCTCTGCCGCCCCCCTCTCCGAGAGCGCTGCGCTGCTGCCAGGCCAGCGCGTGGGTTTTGGCCGCGCACGCCCGCCGCCTCGCTGGGCGGCGACCTGGAGCCGCAGCCGGCTGCCCCGGTGCCCGCCCTCGGTGCCGGTTCCAGGCACCCGCCATCCGCCCTGGTCTCCACCCGTCCGTGGCTCTGCTGGTTGGGCGCGCTACCGCGCCCCCGCCTTGTGCTGCGCCGCTTCGCTACTGGCAGGCTGCTGGCTGGATCAGTTCCCTCAGCGCTGCCGACATCAGCACCAGCAGACAACTCTGCCCGCCGCCCTTGGGCCGGCCCCCGAACAGCCCCGCTGCTTTCTATTTCGCCGTGTTTGTGGTCGCCCGCGAGCTTGCGTCGGCACCGCGCTGGACTGGGACGGCTTCGACACGGCCCTACGCGCCCTCCTCCCGTATCGTGCTTCTTCAAACTCGCGCAGTGCAGCCCCTGCTTCAGCCCCTGGGTGTGTCCGTGGCGCCGCCCCGCGCCCACTGCCCATGTGATGCAGCACTGGCTGGCCTCAGCGGCTGCTCCAAGGCGATGCACCTCGCCATGTGAGTGCCCTCCCTCCCCTCCTTCCCCCCCGCGGCCTCTTTCGCCTGTCTCCCCCCCCCCTCCCGCCGCCAGACATTGCGTTTCCGTTTCCCGGGCCGCCCGAGCACGCGTGCGGACTGCTTTTGCCGCGCTGCGACGCAAAAAGTGCGCCTGTGCTTGTGTGTGTCGAAGAAGAAAAGCGGCATGTACACTAACCTCCGACGTTCCGCGCGGACTTTTTGGATCTGCGCTGGACCCCCCCCTGGCGGCGCCCCCGGCGCCGCCCCTAGCGCGCCCCGCGCGCCAGGGGGAGGGGCCCAGCGCAGATCCAAGAAGTCCGCGTGGACCGTCGAACGTTCCTGTTTATGCGGATCTTTGTGCCTCCAGTGTGTTCGTGTGTGTCTGCGTGCGTGTGTGTGTGCGTGCGTGTGTGTGTGCGTGTGTCTCGTATCGTTGGCGTTCCCACAGCTGGGACGTCCGCCAGGCGGACCCGCCAGCGCGTCGGCGGAAGAAGGCGGGAGCCCTTTCGCGTTCCGCGCCGTGCGCTCGTCGTCGCTCACAATCTCGGGCACCGTTCCTGCATCACGCCGGCCCTTTTGGGCGCAAAATTGTGTTCATTTCTATCTCCCATATCCCTCTCCCTCTCGCTCTCCCTTCTATCTTTCTCTCTTTCCCTCACTGTCTCCCTCCCTCCCTTCCTCTCTCCCTCCCTCTCCCTCCCTCTCCCTCCCTCTCTCTCTCTCTTTCTCTCATTCCCTCTTGTTTTGTTTTGTTTTTGTCTCTCTCTCTCTCTCTTCCTCCCCATCCCTCTGCCTCTATATCCTCTCTCTCTTTCTCGTCGCTCTTTCTAAGCTTGTACATATACATGTCATTATTGCTCGGCTTATTAGTGTTACTATCATATTTCTATTGTTGTGTGTTTACATATTGCCAAACGCATTCCCAATATCCATATTATTTAGATGTATTTATTTGTTTGCTATTAACATTATCATTCGTAGTCGTACTATCATTCGTATGCTTACTATTTGTTCATTATTCGTAATACTATTCTTGCTGCTTCCCTCGTCTCCCCGACCTTGCATCGCAGTCGTTCGGTTTGATGACCGCGTGCGGAGAGCCGAATGGCCGATCGCGCACGTATGGTGTCCAATGATGTCGTTGCCATTGCCAGGTGCTGTCAAAACCAGTGACCGCATGCATCTCTGCGCACCACAATGCAGAGGGGGCCGATCATATCAGAGCGGTCTTCCCTCTCTCTCTCTCTGTCTTTCCTTACCCTCGTCCCCATGTTGAGCCTCACCCCCCCGCGCGTTGTCAGCATTCCTAGCATGTCCCACCGCACCCTCCACGCACCAGCCTTCTACCCTGTCGCCCTCGAGCCCATTCGCTTACCTCCTCGCGCGATCGAGCCCTCCTTGCTCGTACTTCCCTGCGCACTCCACGCATTGTCCCTCCCCCCATCACCCTCCGTCCTCCGGTCGCGGCTACCACCCCCATTCGCCCTCCTCGGCTTCTCCACCTAGCCTTCCTCGCCCTCCTGACCGTGCTCGAATCCCTCATCCTCCCAAGCCTCCCGACCGCCTTCGCTATCGCTCCCGCACGGTTTCCGCAAGCTGCCGCAAGCTTCTGCCCCCGTATCTTCTTGCTCATTCGTTACCCTTCCCGTTGAATCCTGACGCATCTGTTCCGACCTCTCTTTATCATGCTTGTCCCCCTCCTCCTCCTCCTCCTACTCCTCCTCCTTCTCCTCCTCCTCCCTCGCCTCCTCCTCCTCCTCCTCCTCCTCCTATTCCCTCTCCTGCACTGGCCAGTCCTCTTTACCCTCCTTCTCGCCCTTCTCATCCTGGGCGCTCTCCTCCTCCGCGATCTTCGCTGGTGTGGCCCTTCGCTGGGCCGTGGCGGCGGCGCGGCGCGTCGTGCCTCGCGAGGCTGGCAGCCGGCATCCCCGAGGCAGTCGACCAGCACCGTGCAGGAGCTTGGCATCGCTCGGACGTGTGCACTTTTCTTTCGGCGAGGACCATCGAGGAGCATCCTTGATCATTTGGCGAAAAAGCCACGCACGAAACCGAAAAAAGCACAGGGGATGCACGTCCGAGCGATGGCCAGGGAGGAGCGGGCGGCGGGGATGCGCGGGAGTGGGCTCGAGCGCGCCCGCCGCGGAGCCCAGTCGGCTCACACCCTGCGAGGCTGCACGCCCCGGGAGGCGGAGTGTACCAGGAATACGGCCGGGCCGAGGTAGAAGATGGAGGTCGCTTCGGGGAGGGCAACCCGATGTTCTTCGTGCTCGTTGGATGTCCTTGTGCATGCTGGGGGAGGGCACCCTCGAGTGTTCTTCGGCTTGGGCCGGCGGAGGGTCTCATGTTCTCGGAGGCTGTTCTTCCGTCTTAGGTCCGGCCGTGCCAGGAACAGCGGCAACGGGAGAATTATGAACGCTCCCTGAGTGCCGCGGGGGAGCATTTTTGGGGTGACGTCGTGCTCTCAAAACGAAACGATGCCGTCCCCCCAATGCGAGTTTCGCGTGGGCTGGCCAGCGCTGCCGCGCGGTTTCACAAACCACTCTTCGCCATCAAGTCACCATGGAGTCTGGGGCCCCTCTCCTGAGGCCGTGGTGGGGACACCCACCTCGCGAGTTTGCTGCGGTGCATGGCGATAGATCTTGCTGGCCAGAACCAACACTTCTCACTGCCACATGCAACTGCTACAATATCCCGTCTACATGTTTATCCGTCACGCGTTGTCGCTCCTGGTCTGGATCGTGCCTGTCTTCTGACTTGTCCCCATCCGCGTCCGAGTATCGCCTGCCTCAGTAGGCTCACGGCCACATCCGCCGGCCTCTTGAATTCGGCGGTCACGGTCCATGTCTCAGGACCGAGGGTTTTTCACCACGCCATCCTATACCTCCCTGTGATTCTCCTCCGTCTCCTCTCCCCTCCCATCGGAATCTCCCCCCAATCGCGCACTTTTCTTGCCCAAGCTTCGTCCCTCCCTGCTCACGGCCCTCGCTGCCGCCCTCCCATCCCCTCTCTCCCTTTCGGGGGGATCCGTCGACCCGGTCATGATTCTGAGACAGTGGCGGGCCCCAGCGGGTGATGATGCACGAGGATGAGAAGGAGCAGTGGGGTAAAGCTGGAGAGCAGGTGGTGGAGGTGGACATGGTGGCGGCTGGTGTCGAGGAGGAGGGAGTGGAGGAGCAGGATGATGATGATGAGTATGATGATGATGCTCAAGATGATGATGGTGCTGATGATGATGCTGATGCTGATGATAATTACGACGAGGATGATTATGAAGATGAATATGGAGACAAAGATGAAGATGAAGATGAAGACGATGAAGATGAAGATGAACATGATGATGCTGAATATGATGATGCTGATGATGATGATGATGCCGATGATGATGCTGATGCTGATGCGCTGAGGCTGATTATGCTGCGGATGATGATGATGATACTGCTGCTGATGCTGATGATGATGATGCTGATGCTGGTGCTGATGTAGCTGATGATGATGATGATGATGATGGTGATGATGATGTTGAGGATGATGCTGATGCTGATGCTGATGCTGATGCTGATGCTGATGCTGATGCTGCTGATGATGATGCTGGTGGTGATGATGATGATACCACTGCTGCTGCTGCTGCTGCTGGTGCTGATGATGATGCTGATGCTGATGCTGATGCTGATGCCGATGCTGATGCGGATGCTGCTGATGATGATGATGCTGATGATGATGATGCTGATGCTGATGTTGGTGCTGATGCTGCTGCTGATGATGATTATGGTGATGATGATGGTGGTGGTGGTGATGATGATGATGATGATGATGATGATGATGATGATGATGATGATGATGAGGAGGAGGAGGAGGAGGAGGAGGAGGATGATTATGATGATGATGCTGATGTTGATGATGCTGATGATGGTGATGATGATCATGCTGATGCTGATGCTGATGATGATGATGATGATGATGATGATGATGATGAGGAGGAGGAGGAGGAGGAGGAGGAGGAGTAGGATACTGATGAGGAGTAGGAGGAGGAGCAAGAGGAGAAGAGACAGAGGGGATTGGAGGTGTGCAGGTAGAAATGGAGGTGGATGCGGAGATTGACGATGAGGAGGCGGAGGTGGATCTGAGTAGAAGGTCAAGGCGGAGGTCTAGGTGGAGGACCATGAGCAGAACCATGATGAGGAGGAACAGGACTTGAAGGTTGATGATGACAACAGATGGGAACTTGAGGTGGCATCTTAGGACTGGTGGTCTTCCACTCATCTTCACTTCTGCTCAGCTCCTTTCCGGGTTCGTGGATACATCATGTGGGCCTAGCGAGGAGACTTCAGGACAGTGGGGAGGAGAAGATTCCCGCGCGCCCGGTGGGCCCCAAAGAGCCAGCAGTCTCACATCCCAGACTGCTCGTCTTCTGCAGTGTCGATTCCCTTGTGCCGCAGCGCGGGATGGGCCGCGCCCGAGGTCGTTGTGACGGATTCCGGCTCCAACGCGCAAGAGGGGTCCGCCCGCGCGATTGTCGGGTGCTGCCCGGGGTGGCCCTGGCCCACCGGGTGGCCCCAGCTTTCCGGGGAGGTCCCGACGAGCGACGGGAGAGCAGCGGGGTCGACTGCGCAGGCATCCGCGCGTGAGCTTTCCGCGTGAGGTCGCGCGTGAGCGCCCTCTCCTCTCCAGGCGGTGTGCCACGCTGGCGGCCCGCGCGTGCCACCGCGCCAGGTCGCTGTGCCATCGTGCTTGCAGTCCAGGCGCTGAAAAAGATTGGCCTGTGCTCGGGAGGAGCTCTCTGATGTCCGACGCATTTCTCAGACTTGGGTCGGGAGACTCATTCGTGACCGAGGCTCGCCGTGGCCAGAGAAGCACCCTCGTTCCTTATTTGAGGGACGCAGAAAGACGGGTCCGACTGCGCCGACGTTGGCGCGCAAGCTGCTCGCGTAAGGTCGCGCGCAGGCGTCCTCGTCTCCGATGCAGCGTGTCGCGCCGGCGGCCCGCGCAAGCCACCGCGTGAGGTTGCCGTGTCATCTCGCGCAAGACGCGTTCTTGATCGATCGTCGCTCCTTTGGCGCTCCTGATGGCAGCGCGCTGACTGTAAGATCCCTGCCCCTTCGTCGCTCCTGGGGGCTCCAGGAGCGCCCCCGCACGAGGCTCGGGGTCCCCCAAACGGGGCGGTGACCACACCGTGCGGTGAGTCAGTGGGGATTCGGGGTCACCGCGCGTTTTGGGACTCGGGTCGTTCTCCGAGGATGCCTCGGGCGAATGGGGCCTCCAGGGTCCCAACACAGTGTGGTGACGGACCCTGCAGTGAGGTGACCCCGCGTTTTCTCTATGAACGGTGGCCTCGTTTCGTTTGTCGTGCTCGTTTGCACCGGTTTCGTTTCAAACGCTCGTTGTACAACGGCCGGCTTCGTTTCGTCTTTCGCTCTGAACGCCAACGCGTCCTAGACATCGCGGCGGTCGGTCCTTTCTGAGGTCTTTGCGGTCTTCGGGGTCACCGCCGGGTCTGTCACCACACGGTGCTGGCCCCCCCCGGGAGGCGCCGAGGGCCCTCGAGGAAGGGGCCGCCAGGCGGCGCGGCGAG